AAAACGACATTGTGGACTTTTGTGCTTCTCAGCACTGATCTTGTGTAGTAGAGGATTAAAGGGGCATTTTAAGGACAGCTGGAGAAAAAAAAGTGTCTCATTTGCTACAGGGTTCACATATTTCGTAAAAGTTCTGCTGAATGTGTACACCCTTAGACCGCTGCAGAGTAACTATGGCAACATATAGGGTGCTGTAAGGGAGCATGTGCTTTTGCTGCACATTGAGATGACATACTAAGCGTAGGTAGGGTCAGGCCAGTGAGGAGGGAGGTTTGTATAATATGTAAAATATCAGATCAATGCTTGACATTCCAGTATCACAGCCAGAATTTACACAAACGATTTGATGTAACCACGTATAACAATAATCTAACGACTAGATCGGTTGCTGAGCATCTCTGACTTCTTGAGTTTAACATTCAGAACTGATGCACTTTGTGTCAATAGCATTTCTTTATCTGTATGTACATATATGCAAATCAATTTTACTCCCACTTTGAAAACAATCTCTCATCAGTTCTTGCCGTAATAGATGACAAATGTCCAAATATCAAACAGGACAATATGTATCCAACTAACCTACACACATGTTACACTCCAAAACTCGTGTCTCTTCTGGAAAATGTACTTAATTGTCAGCTTCTCACATCCAAGCTCATACTTATCTCACGAACATAGGAATTATCCTAAACTTCAGCGGTCAGTAAAGCTGCATAAAAACATCGTCTGTGTCATTATGGCAGGCTGAAACCCGCAGCGCTCTTTGCTTATAGACCTTAGTTCTTTCATCTTTCAGTGCACTCTTTGGTAGTACCATTAGAAAAACATCATCTAATGTTGTAAATATAAATATATTTTTTGTTATTATGGTCTGGGATTAAAAATTAAATGCACTGCAGCCATCTTTGGCCAGTTTTGTTTGATTGCCTGTAACAGAGTAAATGATCTATGATTTATCTCAATGTCTGCTCAATACTAATACTAATAATCACACTAAGCTTAACTTACTTCCACTACTTTGAAATGCTTTGACAAAGAGAAAGTTTACGTGTATATTTCATGTGTGCATGGATAGAACATTTCTTATAGTTGTGTGATGCCTAAGTGATTTTTCGCTTTGTCAAAAAGTTGACAAAATTCAAAAATGTAATTATTATCACATTATTACTGTGTGATTATTTATCACACAGCAGATAAATAATCGTGTCTGTTGTACTTTGTGCAATGTCTTACTGTAAAATCCAGATTCAAAATTATGTGTACATATTTTTGTCGCTGCTGATCAGAATGCTTGAAAAATCTAATATTGATTAAAAGTTGTTGTTGTGGGTTTTTTTTAAGTTTTCACGCCATTAAAATCTGTATCACAACAAAGGAAGCGTTTCAGTCCTTTAATCACCACACAGTCTGTGCATCATTCAGTTTTCCGTGATTCAGTCTCACCAGTCTCATTAAGCTAGTTTCTAATCACAGTAGGGTTTTTTTTGTTTTTTGTTTTAAGAAAACAAAGTGAAAGCCACCTCGTTTGCTGTAAATTGAGCATTTAGCAATAAAATATACCTACCCTACCCTTTACCTATACCTACCCTTTAAAAAGGTCTTCACATACCAAGGGCTAACATTAGGGTAGCCCTTGGTATGTGAAGACCTTTTTAAAAGCCTCTGCTTCATCTCCAACTCTGTATTTTCAAACTATATGAGATGTCTTGGTGGTGGATCTCACTGCTATGGAAGGTGGAAGACACTGACTTGTCTGAGATGAGTCTGAAAGAAGATGTGACACAAACGATATACTGGGAACGTTCACCTTCAAAGTAAAAGTTGGACCTTACTTGTGCAACCGACACATATCAAAAGGCTCAACTTTTACTTTGAAGGTCAACGTGCTCTGTTTACAGTTTGTGTTGCACTTCTCACGTTTTCCGCTTGTCGAATAGCGTACTTTTGCAGACAAATCGGCGTCTTCCATTCAAATTCCTACTGACTGCAGCAAGCTGAAACAACCAAAGCAATCACAGAGGGCTTTTCAGTGCAGCGCCTTATACTTACTTGTGAACAATGTAATGCTACTGACTACCAGCTACCACATGCAGAATACATGTTTTTCTGCAATGAACGAAGGTTTCCAGGCTAGTCGGTCAGTAGGCCTGCGTGAGTGCAACGTCAGCAATTTCACAGCAACTGCCAGTAACCTCCAGTAACCAATCACAGCCAGGTAAGGAGTACACATTTAGTGTTGTATAATAAAAACAATAAAATCAGAAGGGAGGTGTTTATTGTTGAATTCAGAGATGAAGAGAATAATACATTTGTTTTTAACATACTCTTCTTTTCTTTTTCTTTTTTTTACAGTCTGACTTTCTTTTGCAGGAAAAAGCATCGCCCCCTGCTGGCCATTAGAAATAATCCCACTATAAGGCATTTCCTCATTGACTGACACATTGACTTGGAGGCTGTGTCCATCTTTTATATACAGTCAACAGGACAACTTTTTAATGTAAACATGTCAGGGTCATTGTTCCATTATTTTCATGTGGACAAAAATCTGCTTTAAATATGTCAGTATTATTTATTTTTTTCCCCCTTCCAAAGGTTCCAAATACCAGAAAGAAGTCCTAGAAAATATCCACGTTATGTATCCTGTCCTTGACAGTCTGTCCGAAGATTAGTAAACAGCACCCTAATAAAATATGTTTCCACTGCTGTGACGACACAATCATCTGATGCGGCGACTGGGGTAAAAAATAGCCAAGGGTCAGCTGCTTCATAGGGAGAGATATCCGTGTTGCAGTTAGTGTTTACAGTGCTGCTGGTCAGCCACAACTCTTCTGTCTGTATCATTAAGTCTTTGTGTCTATCAATACCCTAATTTCATGTTTATTACTCACAAGGGAACCCTTAAATTTATCTTGAAGCAAGGAAGGATTTTGTGTAGTCAGGTAATATTTTAGATAGAAACTATAGCTTGGTTTATAAGAGACTTTGATTCCCATTTTTAGTAGTGACACTGAGCTATGTAACCTCACAGCTATCAAGTGTCATGTTTGTCTCACATTTCCTGGAATTGCAGGTTACTTAGAAGATTATCCCAGTTTGCGGTTGAAAGGAAAAAATATATTTATAATTTCTTTTTTCTTTCGAGAAAAAAATGAATCTTGTTTTTCTTGCCAAAGATCAGGTCAGCTTGTTTTTCAGGTAGCTGTTTCTTTCTCAGTCATGACAGGCATGGGGGTGTGCTCGCATGCTCCACTCATATTCCAGTGCAGGCCTTAAGCCCACCCTTTGCTTGCTCCATTCAGCAACGTCATCAGTCGTTCTGGTTCGGCTCTATCTCCTGCAAACAAACCTGAAAGTCAAACAGAAAGTGTGTGCATTCATCATATCGTTCACTGATAAACATCTAGATGCTCTTCATTCTGGCACGTGATTGATCTTGCTGAACTTTTTTGACTTGTGAATGTTTTGGCATAAATCTAATGTGACCTTTTTGTTCTTGTGACTGATGACTTGTTTGCACCTTGTGCTAAACCGTCTGTATTTTCTCTCTGGATTGTGTTTTTCTCAATAGAAACAACTAGGATAACTGCTGAGACTGAGTTTTTTCCCAACTCAGGGATTAATAAAGTATTTCTTATACTTATCTTCACTTATGAAAACGCTTACCTGCTGGAGAGTGCTCTCTTGGATGCACAACTCGGATGTTGTGATGATCTACCCCACTGTTGCCCTTTGTTGAAGTTCAGTCCCTTTTATGTTGCTGAGCTCACAGTTTTTTAGGCACTAACTTTCATCTCATTTGACTGCATGTTGCAGATTCACAGCCACAGCTTCTAAAAGGAAACTGAAAACCATATTTTAAACCTACTCCACTCCTCTTTTTACCCACTTAACTGATGAAGAATAGCACCTCACGGCCTTTCACATCAACTGGCCCCTTTTTTTGGTCGCCTGAAAAGGCGAGGGCCTTATATCCTAAACTCCTCCTGCGATTTAGAGTGGACACTCTTGATCTGAAACTGGACTTTGAGCCCACGTTCATCATGTGAATGCGACTGTCATGGTAAACGTGCATTTGCCACAGTATTTGCACGTTTGACACGGTCGCACCATCCCCTGCCACTGGTATTTTTAAGTAATGCATAAACCGCGTGGCCTCAGATTACGTGGATGCACAAAGATTGACCGGGCGTCGGTGACGCCACGGGAGGGAGTGGTCTGCGAGGAAAGACCGCACCTCCGGGTCTCCGCCAATCCGAGAGAAAGCCGGCTTCCCCTTAAGCAGATGGTCGTTGATATATAGCTTGAAGGCGCAGCTGAGCTGATGCAACACTGAACGGAGATAACGCGAACGTCACGTCAGCATCCCATTCTCAAAAAGACGCAAATCGCAGAGGAGCTTTCTTTCTGTGTGTGGCTGTGTTAACTGCAGATTTTCTGGTGAGTGCACCGATTCCGATATTTGATTTCTTTTACATTTTAAGAACCTGGCCGTTTTTTAATTAGTCCTCTTTTCTAGGGAAATTTAAAATTTAATTTTAGGGAAATTATGCGCAATTTATCAATTCGTGCTTCCACTCTTTTTTTCTTCTTTTTTTTAAAATCATGTGTGTTTAACCTTTCTTTCCCGATCAAACCATCTCTCTTTTTTTTTAAAAAAACCAAAGCAAAGTCCTTTTCTGAAGTGCA